TATTTTTAAATGATGACATCAAACAGACATAAAATAAGAAGTTATGGGCAAATATTGGTATTTTAAAGACTAAAGGGAAAAAATGTAAAAAAGTAAACAACATAATTACAAAATAACACATTTTAGGCAAAATTTAGACACAAATTGAGGACAATATTTTCCTGATATACAGGGTTTATTTAATTGTGTGAAAATGTAGCACGTTTAAAAAAAATACCGCGATAATACCGAAAACCGTGGTAATTTTGGTCACAATAACCGTGAGGTTAAATTTTCACACCGTGACAACCCTAATACGGACCATTTTAGATTAGGTTACATTTCCTTTATTCCCAGATTATGTAGTTTGTAGCACTCGTTATAATGTAGAAAATTTCTGGCCAATCCACGTGATCGGTATCGGTGATCAGCATTCTTTTATATCGGTATCGGTGATCGGCAGCAAAAAACCTGATCAGTGCATCCCTAGTTTAAATGCATGAATTAATACATCTGAACTCATGCAGTAGGAACTAGGAAATATGAAATACTAGAACCATTTTATTTTAACTTGATTAAACTGAGTTTTTCATAACGTTGTTGGCATTTTTACCACACACAGTTAAACAAAACAATGTTGATTAAGGTGTGTGTGAGAGCGAGAGAGAAATTTTTTTAAAAACCCGACCGAAGCGGAGGCAGTGACCGACGCAGCACAAGCTGCTTTCAGCTCTGTCTTGTCAAATGCACCACGTACGTTACGAAAAAAGTAACTTTAAATATTAAACCGAAAAAGAGGCGAGCTGAAGAAAACCTAGGGAGTACTGAAGAAACGTGAGCAACAGTGAAGCACAGAGAGATCCGTTACTGTCTGTGTGTGTGCGTGGGCTGAACTGAGCTTCCGCTTTCGCTCGTTGGCCTCTTCGATACGGTCTTCTAGGGCTGCAACTAACGATTATTTTCATAATCGATTAATCTGTCGATTATTTTTTCGATTAATCGATTAATCGGTTTGTTATTGTTTAGCTATTTAACCTATACAAGAGATGAATACATTTCAGTTAAGAAAAAGAAAAACATAAGAGAATTGTGCAGTTGACTGCAATCTATTTTATTGCACATGACCATAGTCAGCAGTGTAAAATGAGCTAAACAGTGCAAAATATCAGTCCAGAATAATTTTTTGGCATCAAAATATAAGAGGTAAATTCCATAAAAAATAATGTAGAATCTGGAATAGAGTTTGTAAGTGGTATGCATTGCTGGGGGTGAGTGTCTTGTTCCCCATGTAGTTGTCCATCGTTGCTTGTTTTTTTCTGCATAAGAAACACAAATAACCTGAATTAAGTACACATATAAAATAAAGCAGCACACACACTACAACACTAAATCAATATTACATTATTTGAATTAATTAACAATATACAGTGATCATTTATTTTGACAAAAATGTGTTGTGAGGCGTTTTACAGCGTTAGATAGTAAAACAGCCTTTTAATAGTTAAAAAAAGGACTTTCTGAATTTCTCCTGTATTTAAAAATTGAAAGTGTACAACTATGCCGCATTATATTCACCTGGACACAGCTCGTCTGTATATTTTTCTCCGCGGAGTTGTCCTTTTTTGAATGAGGAACATAGTTATGGGTTTGTGCCGTTTTTCTCTTAACGAGAACATTCTTATAAACAGACGTGCTAAATTTGGCAAGCGCATGATTCACAACACAGAGGAGATTCACGATTGCATCTAGTCAATCAGAAGTAGAACACCGTAGACTGACGCGGCAAAAAAAACAAAAAAAAAACATGTTTAACATCCACTATAACGAACTCAGCTAACACTAAGTCCCAAATGTGATCTGCGTTAGCTTGTTTATTTTCTGTTACTTACCGGACATTCCTCTGCTGCATCAGCCCCCATGTTTTCGTCTCAAATGTTCACTTAGGGACGTCGTGCTTCCGTCGTGCCATGGTTTTTGCATATTTTGTAGGTCACCGGTCTTTTCAAGGCATCTAGTGAAGTGCTCCCATACTCGTGAGGTTTTTGTCCGGGGTTTCTCTTGTTTTGTCGCTTCTATTTTTCTTCCGTATTTGTTGTTGATCCGCCATCTCTCACAGCAAGATGCGCGTCAGTAACGTGATACGTCATGAAAACCGAGGGCACTTATTGGCTAATTTCTTCTTCTACGGCCCCACTGGTAGATCAGTGGCTCATTACTGCCACACACTGGCGGCAAATTTAACAGATTGTAACCGATGTCAGATTGTGGTAAAAAATAGACTTTATGCGGTAAAATATGATTATTAAACAACTAATCGATGACTAAAAAAGTTGTTAACTATTTTAATAATCGATTATAATCGATTAAATCGATTAGTTGTTTCAGCTCTACGGTCTTCCCATTCAAAGGGACTGCTGCAGAGTTTTGTGTGTATAGAGGGGCGGGCGCTCTATGTGACTGGCCAATCACAGAGCGTGAAGGCAGTCAATTACCCAATGAGGATTTTCCTTCAGCACGATTACAGATACTGACGGGTTATACTCGTTTCATGCTCGTATTCATCAAAGATGCTTTATCCGTACCAGATACTGGTCTGAAACGAGTATCCGGCTCATCCCTTGCTGTAACCACCCTGCCCTGCCTCCTCCTCCTCCTTGCTGCCTGCCGGCTGTGATCACAAGCAACAACAGAGTAGTTCCCGCTGCTTCTTCGGGAAACAGCTCAAAAAAAACTTTTTAAAAAAATCTATAAAACGAGATCTTGTAGGTGTGGTGCTGGGATTTCAGCCGGGGTGGGTCGCCACGGCTACGCCTATGTAAGGGAAGCTCATAAGTAAAGCATGCCGCTTACGCATCAGTGGAAAGGCAGGTTATTTTTTGGCATTAATAGCCATTTTTACATAACAATGTTGTCAATTTCGTGCAACGCTGAAGCAGCATCAGGGAGCCTTGGGTCATGTACAAGGGGTCCGATAGACAATTAGAGCAAATTACTACCAAGCGAATGCAAAATTCGCGCATCGCCATGCCGGCATGGTGCATTTATAAGACACACCGCTGCTGTCATATGCTGATTTGCCGGCACGGCGTGTCTTGTAAAAAGGGCTAATCAGAAGAACTAACTAATGTACACAAAGCAAACCAAGTGCTCAATATGCTACAAATAATTCAAACATTTGATTGGAAAACGTAGAAAACCATCCTAAATGCAGTTACTACAGCTGAATTAGCTCTCGTCAGGGAAGACCCAGTGGTTGAGGTAATTTTCTAAAGCAATCCTCATTCCTTTAGACTTGTCCAAGCAAGATGACATCAGTGTTGAGCACATACCAGTGTATCCCAACAAAAACACCTCCCTCCATAAGAAGTGTCGAGATCATCTAATTTTGTGAAAGTAAATCATCCACATCATCATGAGCATTGAACACTGAACAGCAAGAGGAGGTTTAGAGTAAAAGTTGATCTACGGGTGCAAAAGTGTTACGTCTGCAGCCCTATCAAGCCAGCATGAAGTGCAGAGTGACTGTGTGCAGGAGGTGATAAGAACACTTTAAGAGGCCCCTAGGAGGATGTTGAAGTTAAAACCGGACCATTGTGCACAGAACGGGGTCTCGTGACTAATCTGCTGGTTTGTCCATTAAACAGTCGCCCATTTGATTTTACAATAACCTGATCACCCACATCTCTACTTTGTTCAGCTGCTAGAGGTTCAAACATGTCAGCGGGGTGTTTGTTTTTCCTGTCAAGATGAAATTTCGAGCCTTGCAGCAAGTGAATTTTCAACAACCAGCTCACATGTTAATGTTGCATCACCGTCTGCTTTATCAGTAATTTCTAGAGCAAAATCAAGCAACTCAGCCATAAATGCCTCAAAAGCCAGGAGTAATCTAGCCAACAGATCTAGTGCAGAGCGCCTGCTCTGTTTACATTTTTGTCCACCGACTACAATCTCAGTCAGGATGCAATTTCAGCATCATTTTACCAGTTTCTGCTGTTGTTTACAAACAAATATCCAAACCATAAACAACCTAAAATTGTGAGCAATTAGGGGAAGAAACACCAAAGGTTTTGGACTACATTACACAAAAATGTATTTGCAGTGTGTCAACTGTGAAACTTGCTTACCATGACAACACAATAAGAATAAATGCAGGCCACACAAAAAGACGTTGTTCCCTGAAGAAATCGCTGCATTTCAAACATGTCTACACTGGAATTTTCTAGTAAGTCACGTTCAGCTAAAACAAAGAAAGAGCCATTCAGAAGCAGAATAATTACACTTTATAACCTTTTATCTACAAAGAGGTTTCAGGACACTACAAGGCTGTTTCAGATCACAGTGACAAACAGAAATCATAACTTTGTTACAATATCAACAGAAAACAACGTGGATAAGAGAATAGACACAGGAAGGCAATAAAAAAAAAACAAAGAATAAACAGCCTCTATAAGAAAATGGACCCTCAAGGTCAGAGCTAGTTTTCCCACCTGGTTTTAACCACGAAGGCCTTGTAACAGTAGTAGGCCCTGCTAACAGGACTCAGTGTAAACGGAAAACACCACCACGTCACATGGCAACACACACCAGCCCAGCCAGGGAGACGCAAACGGCACCACTGGGTTAGAAATACCGCGACAGAACAAACAACTGCTGAGGAGAAGGGGCAGTTGGAAGTGTAACTTAATAATTAATTTATACTCATCCATTTTCCTTTGGTATTCTGAAAACATGGCATGCTATTTAATTATCTAGATTTGTGAATATTTGCAATGTTAATATTCTAATTTGTTGCGTATGTCTGAAACTTGGTTTGGCCAGGTGAGTCTCATGAATGCTAAGATTCACTCTGTGTTTATGTCCATGTAGACAAAGAGACATAACTCAGGTAGACAAGACCTTAATAAACATATGCCACTGATAACAAAAGTCTGTACTCTGAATGACTTCCAAAAGCTAAATGAAATGACCTAAACGGTACACCACAGTTTCTACCAGAACAGAAACGCATACGATCATCTCACCTTTTTTTCAGTCCAGTATTATTCTATACTCCTTCCTTGTTACACTCGCCGTCTCTCTCTCTCTCTTCCATCCACAGCTCTTCCCTCTGTGGGTGCGTTCCCTGTGGTAAAAAAAACACAACACGGTTGTACTTTGTAATTAGGGATGCAAGAAAACAAATAGCGTTATGAATCTCAATAGATATTTAAAAGGCACAGTATCATTTTTTAAATCAAGAAGTCACTCACAAAAATTTACTGCATTTCTTTTGTGTGCTACGATTCATTCTCCCACAGCTAGTTGCCAGCGGTTTTCACCGCCTTCTATCTGATGGAACAACGAGACTTTACGATAACACTGGATGTGTCTTGGAAGTGTTTTCCAACTAAATTCAATGTTAAAAATGGCAAAAAACCATCTGGCTTTTAATATCGCAAATATTTCATATCGTCTCCCCAGTATTGTGGTGTATAGGGAGCCCAAGTCACGCCCATCTCCTTCCGGACCACGGGTCCCCGGAAGAATGAAAAAATGAACGCAAGTCAACGGGGCTAAAAACGCTATTTTCTAATTCCGCTTGTTTTGTGCCATGGATTTCGCAAATGATGTCCGTGAATTTTAAAGACACATTTTGATACCAAGAACGCGCTTATTTCTGAACAGGAGGAAACGCTATTTTAGGTTTTGAGTGAAAATAAGTCCAGGACTACAAATGTGCATCATGGAAGTGACGTCATCGAACCAGACACGGAGAAAACTGAGGGAAAATGGCTGTAAGTTCGGCAAACTTCCCACAAGAGGAAAGAAACACCATAAATCTGGTCATGTGGTAAGTAGCAGCTACGTTACGGGAGAGGAGATTATGCAATGTGCCGATTTCTATTTTGTAGTCACGCTTATTACGAACTTTTATACGCTGATAAATCTTAAAGTACGAGACTGGCGTGGTCGAAACACCCATCATTACTTTTCATTTAAATTGCAGTACAACACATGTGCGATCCAGGGCGTAAGGCAAAGCGAATTAGAAAATAGCATCAACACCGTCGACTTGCATTCATTATTTCGTTGTTCAGGGGACCCAGGAGTCGAGCGGAAAGGGAGGAGACTTAGGCTCCCTATATCATATTGCCAGATTCCTGCCAACACACACTCTTGTTTTCAATCATGTTTTATTGACTATTTAAGTAGATGAATTGTTTTGATGATTCTGATAATTCCACAAAAACTATTAAAAAAAATAGTAAAACAAAGATGTAAAGTCGGATGCCAAAATCGACAACAGTGAGGACCTAAAGGTCTTCATTAGTGAGACCTGTGAGAGCAAGAGTCAAGAGGGTGTACGCGATGATCCCAGCTGACAACTAGGTGGATAGAAATTTGGTGGGATTGTCATCCAGTTTCTTTTAAAATTTACTTCACATCCATAATTAAAATGTATTACATTCAGATTTTTCAGGCAAACTGGGTTTAAGTGTTTTTGATGCACCAGGCCTCTTAAGGATGACTTAAAACCGTATTAACACGGGCTGTATTCTGTTTAGAAGTTAGGCTAATCACCAATCTTTTGTAAAGCCAAATAACCAGAACTGATTAGTTACAACTTACACTAGATTTACATGTTTGCTGGCAAAGGAAATTGCCAAAGGACCAAAGATTGTGACTACTCTCTTATCACACGACACGTTTACGTAAACAAGTCAGTGTGTTTAGAATCCATTTGTCAACAAACAGTAAATTACACATTCCCATAAAAGAAACATTAAAACTATGTGAGTAAAGATGATGCCCACTGACGCTTAACTACCACAAATGACACCTTCCAACTAGTGCAGCACGAGGCTGCTGCCTCGCCCTCTGTGGGTGATAAAGTTTAGCTGCTGTGGCTCTGGTGGGCGTGCCATTTAGCCTGCGGGAGAAAGCTGCAGTCTAATCCAATAATGAGATTACTGCACAGCATTTATCTTAGCTTTGCACACAAACACCCATGCACACACAGAAAAACACAAACTTTACTATGTTAAATTTTAAATTTGTGTCATGATCGGTAGTATTTTATAATGGCACTTCCATGTTACCATTAAATAGCTATTTTATACCTTCCAGTTGCAGCGTTATGTGTTTATATGCTAAAAAACATTAACTGCCCTACTGCACCACTAATTTTAACTTTCCACAATAAAAACCCAAGTATCAAATCAATGTATTGATGCACTTCCTACCCCTGTAGCTGGAATAGCTCAGCTGTAGCCATGTCTGAGGCTTTTCCTGTTTACACAACTCTTTTTCAGACAGGTACCATTTCCCTAACTATCCATTTATCACGATCAAAGGAAGCTATGACGTAGTGAGCATGGAAAGGTGTTCATTCTTAACCATCTAACTGAATCACGTTTTATTTTTGTGCCAATGCATTAACTTCTAACTTTCATCACTTTCTGGAGATCAGCGTGTGTTACGTGAGAATGTGAATAATGTGGAAGGAAAGACCCATAATGAAGGATGCAGATATAGTGCTGAACCCATGCGCCAGCTGCTGATCCATTATTATCACATAATTCACATCAAAAGTTCTCCATGCTGATAGACTTGGGCCACACAGCAGAGCATGATGGGAGTCTCTTTATGAAAGGGCCACCCATTAACTCCAGCTAAAGAGAGGGGGAAAGGAATTAAACAAGCAAACCAAAGATGGAAAAAGCAAAATAAAGAAAGCGAATCACAACATAGGAGGGAAATAAATGACGGGGACGGCTTTGCAGAACTCTATAATTTGACAAAGCAGATTATCATTTATTAGATTCTGTATTCTCTGTTATTGGCCAACAGAATATACTTTCAGATAGGAAATGTAAGAAAATATTGATACACTGATACAATTTTTTTGGTGTTATGAGACTCATTCAATTTTTCAAAGTACCGTATTGACCTGAATATAGGAAGACCCTGATTATAACACTTTCCAAGACTAATCTTCAGCAAAACAAAAAAATCACTTTTTAAATAAACTATGCAAACTATCAGAACTTTGTTCACATGTGAATTTTGTGTGTGTGTGTGGTGTGTGTGTGTGTGTGTGTGTGTGTGTGTGTGTGTGTGTGTGTGTGTGTGTGTGTGTGCTGTCTGGCAGTGACGCAAGCAGAATTGATGTCGGAATGCTGGTGACAAGCCTTACAGATTTACTCTCAGGTGGAAAAGCGTCTGCTTTTAATGTCACGCCTGATACTTAAAACTTTATTGCTATTGTTTTTGAATGCTTTTTAATTCTGACCAGACACGGAGTCAGAGGTGAAAGAGAAAGGAAGAGACAAAAGGTGTGTGTGTGTGTGTGTGGGGGTCCACAAAAATAAACAATAATGAACAAGAATCTGCTTCTAGACCTGCAGAAAGAGAAGAAAAAAAAGAAAAACAATGGGACACAACAACAATACAACAAGATCAAGCTATCACTTGATGAAGGAATATATAATCTACATTGTTTAACTGAACAATCACCCGATAATAAATCAAAGTGCATTAAGTGCCCACCACAGCCTTAAGACATGTGTTGAACGTGCCCAAGTCCATACTTATGACAGCACCATGTGAGCACCTGTGTGTGTACACGCGCTTGTTTATGTAAGGTTTCTCTATAGGAGCGTCCAACAGAGAGTGTGAGGGACCACAGATCCGCCCCCCAAAGATGTGCAGGAGACGGAGGGAGCTCCATGTCCCAGAGATCCAGGAGTTGCCCCAGAGCACTAGCCTGGCAAGCCAGACTAAATAAATGTATTATTTAGTCTGGCCATGCTCCAATCGGCTCTCGGTTGTGGGGCGGGTTCTACCGTTGTCTTTCAAATGATCTCCGCATTCCACTGGACAATGAATGTGACATACTCTTGTTTCACTCTGTTGCATCATCCCACCCACCAGGCATATAGAGTGCCCTGATTGGCCCACAAAGCGGATAAAGCTCTGTGATTTGTTCACTAAGCAGATAGAGCACTATGATTGGCCCACCATTATGGACCAATCACAGCTCTTTATGTGTTTGAAACCCCTCTAGAGAGCTGTGATTCAGTACGTTTAAATGCAGCCAATATCCGGGTTATGATCGGGTTAAGGTCGGTATTTGGGTTTCTGAGTTGATCAGAATAACCCGTTTACAAGCATAAATAGAAAGAGTTACCTCTAACTTGCATAACCCGATGTAAATGCGGATGTTGGGGTAGCGTCAGGACGTATGGACTACGTCCAGACTGCGTCATTTCCGGTTCTTCTCGTTCCGGTATCCGTGAAAACAACATTTTTCCCAGTTCGGAAGAGATAGCAACCGTGTTTGTTTGCGCTTTAGTTTCCTCGTCACTCCAAAAGTGTGGTGCTGTGCTGCGACTTGCCATGTTGCTCCCAACTTGTTGTTTACTTCCGGTGTTCTGGCGCATACAAGACGTCTCGCTACTCAAAAGACCAAGATTCCTTGCGAACAGAGCATGCGCAGAACACACGCTTTGATGGGGATATCCCGATATGCGTTTATACGACCAAACATTCGGGTTAGAAAAGGGTTACCCCAGGTGTAGTAACCGGGTTTTTAAAAACCCGGTTATGAGCATATCTGGGTTTCTGGCGGTGTTTACACGGACCTGCGGAACCGGGTTATTGTGAATATTCGGGTTTTAAAAGGGTTACTGGCTGCATGTAAACGCACTGAGTGGCTAGCCAGAGTCCTGGTAGGAGCTGCTGAGGTTCCAATGGAGCATGCCTAGACCAAACTTTGCAAAGCAAGAATTTGGTCTAGTTCACTAGGCTACCAGAGCACAGGAACCCCAGGGAGACTGCAACCAGAAAAGCCCCCGCCCCCCTCGAGAGGCGCAGAAGATCGCCCCGGGGGGCCACAACCAGCAGCCGGCAGAGTCCCGGGAGATATTGGCAGCAAGCCCACAGGCCCGCCGCCTCCCACCCCCTAGCTGGCAGAGCCCGGGACCCAATGACCCGGGACCCAGGGGCGACCGCCCCCACTGGGGACCCAGCAGAGCCCAGGGACCCAGACCCCACCAGGCAGCCACTGGGATTGGTCAGACAGATGCCAAAAATCTTAAACTCACATGTGAAATAAACGCCAAACGAGGCTCTTATTCACAGACGTCCTCTGCTTCGCTGTGCACTCTCATGCTGCTGCGATCCCGGTGAACCATCAGACCGCTACACCTGTTGGCTCCACCCATTGAACGTCATCCTCACTGCAAACGCGTCCATGCATGCAAAGTTTGACGCCTCTGCTGAATTGTCCACCATCATCTTAAAATTTGCATAACTCTGCCGTAGCAGCTTAACTTGCCCCACTCTGCTGCGAACCTCACCTCCATGTTTTTCTCTTGTTAAGAACGCTCAGCCAGGCGCCCTCTGCTGTTACGGGCGTGTAATGACCCCAGACAAACAGCATGCGTGAATGCTTAGATCCCAATTATAAGACGACCCCACATTTTAAAATTATTTTTCAATAAAAAAACATCATTAAATATTCAGGTCAATACTGTAGTTAGACTTTTTTTTGAGAATTTACATGCAGACATTTACTGTATTTCTTTTGTGTGGTGTAATTCAAACTCTAACAGTAAGGTGGCAGCACATTTTCTTCTGACGGAACGAGACCTCGTGACACTGGACGTGTCTTGGAAGACTCTGACCTGAGCTTCCCAATTAAATTCAGTGTTAAAAAAAAGATATAGTCTGGCTTTTAGTATATCGTCTCGTCTCATCTTCTTCCGCCAAACCAGGTCCGGGTCGCGGGGGCAGCATTCCAACTAAGGAGTTCCAGACCGTCCTCTCCCCGGCCACTTCCACTGGCTCCTCCGGCAGGACCCCAGGGCGTTCCTGGGCCAGTTCGGAGATCGTACGGTCTCTCCCGCATTGAGATAAAGATCGTATCTCTAGAATCTTGCTAAAACACACCCCTGTTGTCAGACAAACTGCACATATGTGTCAAGTCTTGATCATTTGAGCCCAATGAAAAGAAACAAAGATGGAGTGGAGCTCACAGATCAATTTTTGAAACCTTTGCAAGTTAACAGGCTCACATTCAAACCACATTGTTTTGATTAGAAAAAAGGTCATCATTTATGTTGGGTGTAATCTAGAAGCACTCTAGGATGGATGGGAGTTTATAAGATTAAATGTTTATACCACAGTAGAAGTATTTACAGACATATTAAACATATGTTTTGTTATGACATTATGACACATGCAGGAGTGTCTGCCACTGATGATCAAATACATCTGGATGTGCTCATTTGCATTAATCTGAATTAGGATCTTCTCACGGGTCCTTCACTTAAGGTCCCTGGAGCAGCAAAGCCCTCTCTCTGCTGAGGGATGACAAATACATCGTGACCAAAACAGCCCAGCAACAAAACTTTATGGCTTCAGATAGAAACGTGACATTTTACAGCTTAGCTGCACTGCATCTGTGTGGCGCAGCAGTCAAAATGAGGCCAGTTCACTTCAGGTCAAGGTAACCAAAGACGGGCAATGTGATATTCCTGACTAAAAACAGGTGTCATATTCAAGGAGAGCAACAGGAAATGGTTGTTGTTAACTGCCCCATGCTAAAAATGGTAGATTTTAATTATGAGTTATTGTTGTACAGGATGAAATTCGGCATTAACTTGTTTAAAACCACATTTAAAAGCCAAGAACATTTTAAAAGTCAACAAAATATTTCTGTTCTGCGCTGCAGTTTTCAGAAAACGCCAGCCTCTTCCTGAAAGCTCACTAGAGTGTTTACACCACCATATTTCAAATTCCAAAGCCTTTATCTCAAAGTCACACAGCAAGGCACGTTTATGCAAAACTGGCTTTGTGTGGCTCACATCCTGTCTGAGCTTGCTCGGATCAACTACATCAAATTCTACATTTGTGGACCAGACATGTTTTGATCTCATTATAATCTGCAGGTGTGGTTTCATTGCTCAAAGGGGCAAAGGTCAACTGCCTGATCCCCAACAAAAGCAGCAATCACGAAGCAAAGCTGCCTTATCTCAGGAATTTATGGCATTGCAGTATTAAACGCTAAACAACCTCAGCTTGGTGTCAGGTGCTGTTGCTTCAACACTTCTAATGAAAATTTGTCAAATTTGAAATCCAATGTAAAAACTTGCATCTGAAAAAAAAAACCTTGTAATTAAAGATGAAACAAGAAAGTGTGTAATTCTACAAAGAAACTACAGATTTTTTAAAGGTTGTGAATGCAATGTGATCACAAGTAATGAAAGGAACTCGTCGTGTTTGTTTCGAGGAGTGACTCAAAGTGAAACTTTGCTCATACGAGCCCCTTCAGAGGAGGAATGCCTAACATTCAATGTTGTGCCCTGGAGAGTGTAATAAAAGCAACATCTCTGAGCGTCTGCCAGCACCTCCGCTAAACACAAGCCGTAAACTTTAGG